CAGATCGATGCGGCGTGTCAAGGAGGGAAAACCGTTGAGGTTAATTGCTATGGTGGTGATGGGCAAAGGTAATTGCGCATCCGATTCGCATAATCATAAAATCTGGCAGGGTATCGACTGATACCGGTGCCGAATTGGAGATGCACGATTTTATACAGAATAAGGCTCGGGCTACAAGGATTAAGTATAATTCTAGCTAACAGTATAAAAAAAAGAAGTCTGGCCTAGAATCGTTAGTGCTACCAGTTAAATAGACGCTGGGAGGATCATTTACAGTGCATCATCAGCGCACATTTTCTAGTAGGAGCCCCATGTAACGTGTATTCTCAACAGGCGGCATTGCCACGACTAGTTTTATAGTGTGCATGATCAGAATGCACACTTATTTTATCAATAAAACAGTACATGAAATTGGAATATTTTTTTCTAACAAACTGCCCTTTAATGCAACTAGCTGGCTGGGAGTTTAGCATTGAAAGTCACCTTTAGACCGATACGTAGCGGAACCCACCATTCTGACAGAAGTTGAGATTTAAGGTCAAGTACAACTTAAGATATTATGGCGAATCAGCATATCGTCGAAGTTCTTGCTTGGCTTCAAGCTGCGTAAAGAGCCCGCGTGCGGGGTTCCGCTCGACTGGTTGCATACTACTTCCCATTTTAATTTTGCAAGCAGGTATGTATGATTGTACTGACGAGCGTCTTATATGTAACGTATATTGTGCTAAGGGATACCGGTACACTGCCGATCACGTATCTCACTTTCAGTTTATCAAGAGAGAAAGAACTCTTCAACTTTCCAAAATTGGCCCACTTCAAGTATGTAGTAGTACTTTAGTAACAATCGCGAGCAGAACAAACGGTCTTGCTTTACAAACAACAAACCAAGTCGTTGTGTGATTTATAAACTCAAAATACATCGCTTCGCTCGAAGAGGAAAGAGTTATCTAAGCAAGCCAATATATACCGGCGGAATGGTATGGTATGTCCAGCTCATAACATAGGGAACAGGTAATTGCTCTCTCATCTTCCTCCACTAATACTCCTTTGCCTTACAGAACGCCTTTTCGCGGTTATCATAGTACGTGCAGTGCTTGTCGTAGTACTTGACGTAGCCGGCGTAGATCGAGCGCTTAACTAGCTTGATCGAATTCTTTCTCAGGCCCAGTTCCTTACGAACATCACGAGGAGTCATTTGATGCCGGAACCACCAGTAGTAGCGGGGCCTGTTGGATATCTGGATAAGTGAGAACCTCTCCTCTTCGCTGTCTTCGGAGTCATCCTCTTCCTCGGCAGTCTTGGCGTCTTTGGCAGTCTTGGAGACCTCACTGTCGTCAGTCTCTGGGTAGGCTCTAAGGAAGCGCTGTTCGTTGTTGTTGACGCCAGCGCCAAATCGCACTTGGTTGTGTGACACCGTGAAGGTCTTCTCCGAGTCCACAGCTGATGCGCAGGCCAGCAGACCGGTCAAAGCCACAACAAGAAAGTAGGAAAGACGCATTCTCGAGTGAGTTCTAATGTGCCAGTTCTCAAATGGTTGGCCAGATTCATCAGAGTAGTTTAGGGTATCTCCGAGTGTGCGGTCTTTTCTGTTCGAATGAGCCAGTTTACGGTACATGCAGCCTGCGTGCATTATACAGATGCAGGTGCCAAATCCACCCTGACTCAGGCAGGAACCTCACAAAATCACTGTCGAGAATTCCTTGAAGATTTTCACTTTTGCTTTGAAAAAATGGATACCAAACCGGCTCTCGCTTTGCCGAATTTATTCATCAAACCACATGTAGGTTTGGAACGGTAGCAAATATAAAAAGAATGTGCCGCAGAGAGCATTTACTCTGCATTCATTCAGCGGAAACCATTAACATGTAGATGTTGAGGGCAAGAGGTTGGGCAGTGTGTTTAATATAATAGTCAGTGGCGACCGGAGCCCAGCGTGACTAATCACCGTATACATGTACCGGTATACATACATCCTCGAACCTTTGATAAACTTTCGGATACAATGATCCTCTCCATAAATTTTACCAGATTTGTAAGCTAAACCCTGATGTGTTTGCAGATCCTATAGCTTACAGGCTATATATGGTGCACCCACGAAAACGTGAAGCAGGACTTGTTCAGCAGGTACATGAATCATACTAGTATTTAATAAAGTCAAGGCAATCCTTGACGTCGAAAACATTTGTCTGTCGAAGATCCAGCTAAATCTGGCACTGGAAGACTGCCAGTGGCAGTCTTAAACCGCATGGAATTCACACAATCCAACCAGCTGATATTTCAATTTGAGATACAGAATTACCCTCGATAAGCATAGCTCAAGAGATTTGGTATCCATGGGTAGGTATGACAGTTCCCATAATTAAGCAAATAAGAATATTTGGTCTCAAACGTGTAACCCCTCTACAACTGAGGGGTGAGAGAGAACAATAACATAGATTTGTATTCAATATGTCTTGGGAGCCCTAATCTAATGCTGTTGAGGGAG